GGACTCTCGACATTTATGAGTGCATAGAAAATCTATTTTCTTATTTTATAAAGGAAGATTTTATTCGCTAAATTTCAAATAAAAAATTTGAAGTTACCACTGCCAATTACACATATTCTATAGAACAATTATCAAATATCATACTGTGTTTGTAAATTTTAATTTAAAAATTTTACACTATTTACATTATTCGGACTATTGTCCTCATCTTTTTCGCCATATTTATTACAACGTTTCTGCCGTTGTATGCTCCGGCCTTCTTCAAATGGTTGGAATGTCGAATTGAATCCTTTATTCAAGGACACATGGCACAGTGGATAAAGGCGTTAGTTAGATTCAGTGACAGGGCCCAAAGAGTGTGAGTTCAATACCCGGTTAAGGCAGTGGAGAACTTGGAGAGAGGAATTAACAGGAGATAACTGACATCCGTTAAACATGATACGTGGAACTAGAACAGTCTACCCCATCGCCCCTTGTATATAGTTGTGCATATGGGCAACGATTTTTCTTTAATACAAGTTCCATTGCTCAAAACGGACAATTTAGCATATTGCGCTCGTAACAAACAAACTTTTGGCCAGAAAAGAAGACACTTGTTCGCATAAAGAAAAGCATAAAAAAAAAACTAAACTAAATTACTTTGTCAGTTTTTGGTTGACAAACGGTGTGCAAGTGCTAATGTAGAGAGTATACAAGTTTCTGAATGCATGTTTCATTACATTACAAGGTACTACGATTAAGTTTTTTATTTAATTTTTCTTGTGTTCGAACAAGTGTTTTCTTTTCTGGACACAGAGTGTCTAGAATCTATCCAAATGTTCTATAATTCCGAGCGCTTTTGGCTATACTTTTAACCATTATCAAGGATGGTCTTATTTTTGCTTTTTAATTGGGTATATGGGATATGTGTATGCATCTAGAGCTGTAGAGATGTTTTATTTTCCGAACACGTTTAGCACGTTGTGGCCGTGTTCGTAGTTAATATTATTAAATGCTGGCTTTTTCTTTTTTTATTATTAAGGCTTCCATTATTTTTAATCTTTTTTTTTTACATGTGGATGAGGTTATTATGTTTGTATTTTCTACTCGTATGTTTCAGATGGGGTCTGGGAAGTTTGTGTGCGTGTTTAAATGGGTCCTAACAGAGCTCTAGTCGGTTAGGTGTAACGTAAGGCCTATGGATCTGTTGTCTTTAATGAAACATGTATAAATGAAAGATTGCTGCCTAAATACACAATACATATATATATATATATATATATATATATATATATATATATATATATATATATATATATATATATATGGGTGGGGAGATACACTGGGTAAGATAAAGGAAATAGATGATTCAAAAGGTTGGTTAATTGCAGGATATTTTTTATTTATTTGTTTTATATTTCGAGTTTCTGATACGTATTTAAGTATAAATATAGATATAATTAAATTAAATTAAGTTTACAATAACTATATATAAGATCTGGGTAATTTCGGATTTCAGAGGTCATTATCAAAGAGTTTTATTGCTATTGTGGGAGAATGAAAATTAAATAACAAATTAAATAAATAATAAATATATGAATAAAAAATTTCTTTTTCCCATAATGCAAATGGAAACCAAAAAAAGAGTTTCCGGTCACGTGAAAAGTTTATGACCCCACTTCCGGAAAGGAGATCATCTTTCTCTAGATATTTTCGAATCATTGGATTTGGACGTATTTTGCAACAGTCCCAAGGAAAGGAGATTCAGTCCCCCCGCCACTTTCAACGTCATGTTGACTTGAGGTCGATACACTCCCTTACCTCCGAGTTTAGTACACGCACGTGCGTCAATAAAAATTGACCCTTAATTTTCCAACCGCGTTGTGGTGTTATTTATTTTGGTCCAACAACATTACCATCTTCTGACACTGGACGAAAAAACAAATACCAACCTACTACAACACTATAACAGTTTCCTCATTTTTTAAATATCGCTTCTTTGCATCTTCATCTAACAGTTCCTCTCGTCTTTTTTATTATTAATGAAATATATTTATATTACTTCTATTAATATAATATATTTAGTATTGAAGAATTCCTCAATCACGGACACAACTTCATGCCTACATAAAATACGATCCTAATTTTAGCAAAATATTCAAATATTTACAACAAAAACTTCAGACACTGCAAACCAAGAACCGTCAAAATGCAGCATTAACTTCACAGAATTTCATCCAAATTCTCAAAGTCAAATAATAATAATAATAATAATAATAATAATAATAATAATAAAATGTAAAACAAAAACTATTAAATTACACTCACCAACAACAGAACAAAATCGAAACTTCAACAAACCATTTTTCCTTATGTATACGCTTTCCTATGCGCAGAATGTTTCTCTAATAATAATAATAATAGTAATAAGTGCCTCCTTATTGATATGGCAGTCCCTGCTGACTGCAATGTATCTTTGAAGATATTCAAAAAGCTTTCAAAATACAAGGACCTTGAAATAGAAATCTCAGAAATGTGGCATATGGGAACATCAACAATCCCTGTTGTTGTTGGAGCCCTAGGACTGGTTGGAAAAGATTCCAGTAGACTAATTGAAGGGATTCCTGGAAGTCCATGCCTCAAGGAGATACAAAAAATTGTTCTGACAAGTACAGCCCACACTTTACGAAGGGCTTTATCTATGTAATTTTTTTTTTTTTTTTTTTGTCAGTAGAAAGTGTCATGATGCCATTTCTAACCTTAGGTCCCTGAGCGGGACCCGGAAAGAAATGTGTAAACGCCAGAAATCAAAGAAAATAAAAATAATAATAATAATAATAATTCTTCAAACAATAACATATATATGATTTAAAACCTCAAAGGACCCCTCCTTTTAGCTGATATAAATATAAAATAAATGAAATTTTAATTCCTCGAAATTTCATAAAATTAAATGTGTGTTTGTGTGTGAAAGTATTAAAAAATTTAATAAAATAATAAAAAATACTTTGGTCTTTCCTCTTAAAAATAACAAACATTTTGTAAATAAAACTTGTTTTTATTAAGTTTGGGACCTTTTTCATTGTGGTGTGGTATTTTTTTTCATTGAATTAGTGGAAGTACCTATAATTAACGTTTTAGTCTAATATTGAGCATTTTATTTGTAGAAATTCTTTCACACAACCTTATATTGTCACGTTGATTAACGTGCCATTTAATAATATAAGTCTCATATCACTAACCAACACAATAAATAAAATACAATAAATCCAACAAAATCCTTATCGATAAATACGAAAATTCTATATTAAATAAAATGTAAAAAACGACTGAAAATACGAGCAGCACTAAGGATATCAAACAAATAACCCGTCATCGAAAAAAAAAAACATGCTATCAAATTTAGAAACAAATATACCAAAAATATTTTATTAATTAAAAATAAAGCGACAGCCCGAATTGTTGCGTAAAGATGCAATGAAGCGATATTTGAAAATATTTGAACAACATAAGACAAAAAAAAAACACGAAATTATTGGAAAATAGGGTTTGAAAGCTGCAAGCTTTCAGATATTGAGTCATTTATATTTCAATATGCACCAGAAACCACAAAAAGGATCCGAAATATATATAAAAATAATGAATTAAAAAAAATCTTTCACAAAGAACTTTTGTTGGCCATTAGCCAAACTTGTATAAATGGAAAACTGCTGCCCAAATACCATACTGTAGCTGAGTAGTATAACACGTCAGATCAATTGATGGTTCTATATAGAACACAGCTTCGATTCATGTTGGAGAACGCATGTTTTCTACGAAATTTCTCGATCATGCAGGCCGGTAAATGTATATTAATACTGTTTATTTAAAAAAGAAAAAAACAGTATTTACTTAAATGAATTGTATCTATTAAATAACGTATAAACAAAATATATCAAATAATTGTCGGTCTTAATCCATTTCATAATATGTTGTCAATGTTTACGTTAAGGTACGTTTCGTGAGCAGTTATGATCGTTCATGAAAGATAGTCGAAGATTTGTTGTTTATAAACAGTAATTTGGACTTTACTAACCAAATGCTTTCTCTGTAGCTGAGTGGTATAGCATGACAGATCAATTGACGGTTTCGTATAGGACAGAAGTTCTCCTGTCCGTGAAAGCATATTTTTCTTAGAGATTTCTCGAACATTCAGGCCAGTAAATGTAATTAATATTGTTTATTTAAAAACAAAGCATTTACTTAAATAAATTGTATCTATTAAATAATGTATAAACAAAATATATTTAATTATTGTCGGACTCAATCCATTTCATAATATGTTGTCAATGTTTACGTTAAAGTACATTTCGTGAGTAGATATGATCGTTCGGGAAAGATCGTCGAAGATTTGTAGTTTATAAACAGTAATTTGGAATTTGTTAATCGGACGCTTCCCTGTAGCTCAATAGTATAGCACGTCAGATCAATTGACGGTTCCGTATAGAAGACAGGTTTGATTCCTGTCGGAGAACGCATATTTTCTACGAAATTTCTCGAACATTCAGGCCGGTAAATGTAATTAATACAAAAAAAAAAAAAAAAAAGAACAGAGTATTTACTTAAATAAAATTGAAAATTTATTTAATTTAGTTTTTTTTTTTTTTTTGCATTAATTACATTTACCGGCCTGACGATTGCGTCTAGCATGAAACAGACTGTCGCCTCTAAGTGTTGACTTCAATGTTCACTTTTATATTTACACACGCTCTATCTCTGATATTGACCACTTTATCCCATAAATATTGCACATCTTAAGACTATATTTCTTCATATATATATATATATATATATATATATATATATATATATGTGTGTGTGTGTGTGTGTGTGTATATATATATATGTGTGTGTGTGTGGTCTAACTATTGCGTTTAGCATTAAACAGTGACGCCTTTGTGCGTTGACTTCAATGTAAACTTTCATATTTACATACCCCTATCCCTAATATTGAGCACTTTAACCCATAAATATAACATAACTTAAAACTGTATTTTATCATATATATGTTTGTGTGTGTATGCGTGTGTGCAGTTGTGTGTAGATAGATAGATAGATAGATAGATAGATAGATAGATAGATAGATAGATAGGTGCAATATGAATTGAAATGGAAATGAAAGGAATCCTACAAAAGAGGCAATGATATTTATTTGATCACCGAACTTCAAAATAAAAAAGAAATCTTTCTTTTTTAATATTTCGTTGCTTATTTCCATCATAAAAGTCAGCAACTCTTGGCAATAAACATTAACGTCTGAACAAACTAAACCGGTCATACCTCTTCGTTTGCTTACCGTTAATAAATAGATTCTCGAGTTACTTACTGTCGTTATATATTAAGGTCATCAGATCAACAAAGATTTTTCGATAGGTGATACGAAATGTAATTATACATCCTTGATTATTATCAGGTTTTCTTCTCAATGAACTTCTGTCGTCGGCAACTTGTTTCAATTTGGCTGAAAGGCGAGAAACGTGACAAAATGACGCCTTGCTCTCCTTTGATGTCATCAGTTTTTTACCTCGAATGACTCGGTCCCTATTGTTACAAATTGATGGCCTGCCCACCGATTGTAGTTATTTTATCCAGAAATCTTTCACTTCTTTCCTATATTTTACAGTTTTTCAAAATCGTTCCAATTTAATTCTGTTTAAGTCTCTACGATATTGAGATCGGGTAAATATTAATAGGATTTTATTTCTAGTTTTTTATTTCCTCTCCTATTATCACAACAGTCTGAGTTGATATCATCTTCATTATCGCTTTTATTTTATTACAAACTTCACTTAATCTTATCGCTTTTTATCACAACATTCTGGATAGATAGACTCTCCATTATTTTGATTCTTTGTTTATTCAATTTACCCTATATTATTGCTTTGGATTAGTTTGTTTTACGGTATATCAACCTCAATGGGTTATTTAATGCCGACAAGATTTTATTGTTGGTAATATTTTTTCATAAAATATTTTTGGTAATATTTTTCATAAAATATTTTTTAGTATATTTTTTCATAAAATATTTTTGGTAATATTTTTCATAAAATATTTTTCTTAATATTTTTCATAAAATATTTTTTTATTTTTTTCTAAAAATATTTTGGTAATTTTTTCATAAAATATTTTTGGTAATATTTTTCATAAAATATTTTTTAGTAATATTTTTCATAAAATATTTTTTAGTAAATATTTTTCATAAAATATTTTTTTGGTAATATAAAATATTTTTTAAATAATATTTTTCATAAAATATTTTTGGTAATATTTTTTCATAAAATATTTTTTAATATTTTTCATAAAATATTTTTTGGTAATATTTTTTTCATAAAATAATTTGGTAAATTTTTTTCATAAAATATTTTGGTAATATTTTTCATAAAATATTTTTGGTAATATTTTTTCATAAAATATTTTTGGTAATATTTTTCATAAAATATTTTTGGTAATATTTTTTCATAAAATATTTTTGGTAATATTTTTCATAAAATATTTTTGGTAATATTTTTCATAAAATATTTTTTGTTAATATTTTTTCATAAAATATTTTTGGTAATATTTTTTCATAAAATATTTTTATAATATTTTTCATAAAATATTTTTTGGTAATATTTTTTCATAAAATATTTTTTGGTAATATTTTTCATAAAATATTTTTGGTAATATTTTTCATAAAATATTTTTTTATAATATTTTTTCATAAAATATTTTTTGGTAATATTTTTCATAAAATATTTTTGGTAATATTTTTCATAAAATATTTTTGGTAATATTTTTTCATAAAATATTTTTTTTAATATTTTTCATAAAATATTTTTGGTAATATTTTTTCATAAAATATTTTTTGGTAATATTTTTTCATAAAATATTTTTGGTAATATTTTTCATAAAATATTTTTTCTTAATATTTTTCATAAAATATTTTGTAATATTTTTTCATAAAATATTTTTGGTAATATTTTTCATAAAATATTTTTGGTAATATTTTTTCATAAAATATTTTTGGTAATATTTTTCATAAAATATTTTTGTAATATTTTTCATAAAATATTTTTGGTAATATTTTTCATAAAATATTTTTTGGTAATATTTTTCATAAAATATTTTTTGGTAATATTTTTTCATAAATAGATTGGTAATATTTTTCATAAAATATTTTTGGTAATATTTTTCAAAAATATTTTTTGTAATATTTTTCATAAAATATTTTGGTAATATTTTTCATAAAATATTTTTGGTAATATTTTTTCATAAAATATTTTTTGTAATATTTTTCATAAAATATTTTTTCCAATATTTTTTCATAAAATATTTTTTGGTAATATTTTTCATAAAATATTTTTACTAATATTTTTCATAAAATATTTTTTGGTAATATTTTTCATAAAATATTTTTTGGTAATATTTTTCATAAAATATTTTTGGTAATATTTTTCATAAAATATTTTTTGGTAATATTTTTTCATAAAATATTTTTACAAAATATTTTGGTAATATTTTTTCATAAAATATTTTTGGTAATATTTTTTCATAAAATATTTTTGGTAATATTTTTCATAAAATATTTTTGGTAATATTTTTCATAAAATATTTTTGGTAATATTTTTTACATAAAATATTTTTGGTCCCTTTTTTCATAAAATATTTTTGTAATATTTTCATAAAATATTTTTGGTAATATTTTTCATAAAATATTTTTGGTAATATTTTCATAAAATATTTTTGGTAAAATTTTTCATAAAATATTTTTGGTAATATTTTTCATAAAATATTTTTGGTAATATTTTTCATAAAATATTTTTAGATATTTTTTCATAAAATATTTTTGGTAATATTTTTTGATAAAATATTTTTTTATAATAATATTTTCATAAAATATTTTTGGTAATATTTTTCATAAAATATTTTTTTAATATTTTTCATAAAATATTTTTGGTAATATTTTTTCATAAAATATTTTTTGGTATATTATTTTTCATAAAATATTTTTGTTTATATTTTTCATAAAATATTTTTGGTAATATTTTTTCATAAAATATTTTTGCTGGTAATATTTTTCATAAAATATTTTTTGGTAATATTTTTTCATAAAATATTTTTGGTAATATTTTTCATAAAATATTTTTTGTAATATTTTTTCATAAAATATTTTTGGTAATATTTTTTCCAAAAAAGCACTACTGGTTATAACGTATAACGTTAATAATTTTTTCTTCAAAAATTTATTGCTGGTAATAATTTTTTTACAAATATGTATTGCTGGTATTACAACCTATTTTTACACGTTTTGACCCTAATTTGGGGGTTAACTATTTGCCCATACTTGGAACCCTAACAGGTGCTACCACCTCGGAACACCAGCAGTTAAAAGATGGTTCCACGCTCCTCAAAACCTCCTGATCAAAGGCCTTGCTGTCGGGTGTAATTTATCGTCTTACTCAGGACGCGGATGTAGTTTATCGTCATACCCGGGACGCGATATTATTGCTGTCTTCTTTTTTATATCAAATAAGTCTGTGTCGATACAGTCTTGATCATTACGCTTATTTTATCATTACTCTATCTTATTGTCACTTTTTATCGATACGGTCTTCATTATTGCTATTTTTATTATTAGTTTTACTCCATTTTATTAATATTTTTTGGTACTTGTGATTTATCTGTCGCCACTTTTTATAAATCTACGGAGGTAATTTGTTCTCGTTCAACTGCACATGTCTAAGGATATCTCGTCTAGTTTCTTTTTTTTTTAGTTAGTACTGCTCAGTTATTAATCGCCCCCGTTTCTACCGAGTCTAAGTAAACACTGTCCGGTCCTGGGATTGAACTCCTAATTGCCATGTCATCAAGTTCACGAACTAACGCTTTAATCAGTTATGCTTTTGTCCCGTGGTAACGGGTGATCACTAATTGTGCAGTACTAAAAGTAAGGACTAGACGAGATATTCCGAGACATGCGCAGTGGAACAAGAACAATCGACCTCCGTTGTTTAAATATAGGATAAGTTCGAAATTCTCTGTAGGTTACCGAAATCAAAAGACGACCGAAAAATGCCGGGAAAGCAAAACGGTGTGATGACAACAGCAAAGATTGGGACAATAGTCCGCGTGTAAATAATGGGTTCTTGTAGGTTATCTGTTACCACTTTTTAGAAAGAAAGGATGTAAAAGCACCGAGCTTGGAGGAGACTAACTTCCAACATTTCAAGGTTAATCATCGATACCATTTCGTTGCTGTAGATACCAGAGTCCACACTCGGAATATAGAACATTTGTGGAGGATCAGTAAAGTGAAGAAACAAACGTCACCTAGGAACGACGCGACGCCATCTTGAGACCTACCTGGCCGAGTTCATGTAGAGAAGAATATTACCCGATGGAGTCAACCCATTCGCAGACTATCACCGCGTTCATGCCACCCGAATAATACGATTAATGTTTGTTATTCGGAGAAATAAATATAATTTAAGAAACAAATAGTATATTTTTACACATCTTTATTTGTGAAAATGTTGGAAAATCTATTTAAAAAGTCGCTTCGGATAATCCACAAGTACCCCATTTTCTCTAAAACTTCGTCGTTGCTTACATGTTCCTTTGTGCTGCTCTTGAAAATATTTCTATTCTGGAGCCCTCTTCGCCGACAATCGTGCCAAGATATTTGAATTATCTCACTACTTTAATTTCTTAACCAGCGATATTTATATTGCTTGAAAGCAGTGGCTAATATAGACGGGTGCGGTCCGCCCCGGGCGACACTTTTGGTCTGCGGTGAGTTTTCAGAAAAGAAAAAAAAACAATAGCATAATTTTAATAACTTTTGCAAAAAAAGCAGCGATAAGGAAGAAGATACGGTTCAAATGAAACCAATATTTATCTACTGCCAGCAGAAATAAAAATGCCAGCCAGCAATAAAAAAAAAATATTGTCTCCAAAATACGCCGTCAGCTCGTAGGGATAAACCCCACTTACAAGATGTGAGCAAAAGGTGTGAAAAAATTTGAACATTTTTAAAGTGCTTGATATGGGGTTGGATTATGTGAATTTAGTGAATCCACAGTTTTTTTACACCTATGTAAGAAGTCCAGACTTTGGCAGCAATTCTTTGATTTTGCCTTTTCATATCTGTGAACTGTTAGTGAAAAAAATTAAATAAATGAACTAATTGTTTTTTTTTATCTTATCATAGGCCTAGCTTTAATACGGATATAAAAACGTTACTTTTCATAAATTATAAAATAAATAAATAAAATGAAATCATTTCAATGTTTTAAGTATATCACATTCATTCCAATATTTCCAAAAATTTCAGGCAGATGTTCTTGTCTTTCCAGATGGTTTTTCTCTTTCCACAAAGTTTTGAGATATATGGTACTGTGCTTTCCTTGAAATTATTTTTATTCTGTAGCCAATGAAACATCTTCCAGCGGAGAGCGCTGGAAGATGTTTCATTGGCGAAAAGACAAAAAAAGGAACAGTGTTCAAGCAGACAGAAGATGGCCATTGACGTTGCATTTAAGTTCTCTTTTTTTAAACAGTAACCTAACTCTAGTCATACTCTAAACCCTAGTATCTTTAATTCTTACGCCTAACTCTAAGCCTGAAGACAATGTGAAAAATGGAAATCTCTGATCTTATTGCTATTGTGGATCAACAATACCTGAATTTAGGGAAAAATAAATTTTATGCCTCATGACATGGAAATTATTGACTGTAATAAACTTGGTTAAAAAATCTGCTCCTGCAGGTTCATTTATACCAAACATGTCACTCGCAAAATAAAATTGTGACTTTTTTCTGTTACTTTTTTTCGAGCTAAAATTGTGACTTTTTCCTGTGATTTTATTGCCGGCTACCAAAATGAACGCATTGTCTTAGATTAAATTTGAATTCGACCAGCTGATTCCGCTATCGGTGTTGATAACACAGGCCTACAAACTAAAAAAAAAAAAAATGAAAACAATTCTTCTAAAAATTTATTATCTTCGACAAAAGTCACCGGGAGAAAAGTCACAGAAAAAATTCTCAGGGAAAAAGTCACAGGAAAAACAGAACCAGAGCAATGTTAGCAGTGTGTTTTTGTTCTTTTAAAATCATAAACGTAATCTTAGTATTCGTAACCTTAACCCTAAACTTGAAGACAGCAGGAATAGTGGAAATCTCTGATCTCATTGCTGTTGTGGATTTAGTGAAAAATAAATTTTATGCCTCTTGTCATGGAAATTATTGACTGTAATAAAAGTGCTTCAAAAATCTGTTCCTATGGGTTCATTTATTCCAAATATGTCACTCGCAAAACGAAACTGGGACATTTTGCGTGCCTTTTTCCTAATAAAAATTGTGACTTTTTCTGTGACATTTTTCCTAATAAAAATTGTGACTTTTTCTGTGATTTTTTTTTCGTAGTAAAAATTTCTGTGATATTTTTCCCAAGAAAAATCGTTACATTTTTCCGTGACATTTTTCTCATGACTTTATTATCGGCCAGTTAAAAAAAAAAAGCAAACAAAATACTTTTAACGCTCCCACCATACCATCCAATGGTATTAGTTTATTTGTTTTTTTTTTATTTGTGGAAGGGCGGCCATTTTGAGCAGAACTAATTTCCGTCTCTGCTTAAAAATGACAGGTGTTATGATTTTGTTTTAGTTTTGTGTTTCATTTGCTTTCTCTCGCTGAGATAGGGGGTGAAGCGTGTGGGGGGAGAGGAAGATACCGGCCAAGATAGTGAAGGATGACTTGCCAGTCATCATAATCATAAATGCTGTCATCAAGTTCATCACCTCCTTTTATTTTGAGATGAGATGGTTTTTTTTATGATCCTTACGTTATTAATGACACCGTTTGTGTTGATTTATTTTCAACTTTAACTATCATTTCTCCAGACAGTGATGTATCTAATTTAATCTATCTATCTATCTATCTATCTATCTATCTATCTATCTATCTATCTATCTATCTAAATATGTGTATATCCGCCATCTCACTAATTTTATCTTCTATTCACCCAAGATGATAAAAATAGCTTCATATTACGTTTGAAAGCAAGATTTGTTCTGGAGGAAAAATCAGAACAGTTCGATGTAATCTCAGTATATAATTATCTATATTTAAATCTCTCTCTCTCTCTCTCTCTCTCTCTCTCTCTCTCTATATATATATATATATATATATATATATATATATATAGTCTATACTATTATAAACTAGTTCTGCAACCTAAAAAACAAGCATAATTGCGATATTTATATCCTTCTATAACTGAATTCATGCAAGATAAGGTCATATTCTCAGCTCAAGAACAAATAAAAATAAACACAAATGAAGTTATATATATATATATATATATATATATATATATATATATATATATATATATATATATATATATTACGGCTTGCTAACAAGCAGAATTGTCTATAACCATTTTGGTTCTCACCAGTCGAGGTGCAACTGAAATGCACCGAAACGAAGTTGCATCTTTGTAGTGAGTAAACTGTTTTCGTCTATATGATAAAATGAGCATTTACTTAAATAGTTGTGGCTATATAAATAACTTATAACAATAAAATATGTTATTATTATTTTTTAAAAATATGTTTCCATCGCGAAAAAAGAATTATAATCTAGGCTCGACTTCTGTATCGAGCACTGTTTTTAAAAAATAAAAACAAAAATACTAAAGAACTTCGGATCATCAATCTAACAGTTCTTTCCTATTATATCAATACACACACACATATATACATATATATATAAAAACGAAAGAATTTTAAAATTTTATCGTCAAAATCTTCGTGTTATTACGATGACAAAAGATCAAAGGATATTTTGTAAATCTGTTTTTAATTCTTTTTAGAATTTTCAAAAATTTGTCCAAATTTTTTTTTTCTGGTGCCAAATGGGGATGATAAATTTGTAAAACATTTTTAAAAAATTAAATTGAAATTTAAAATTTCACCCATCTCCTTTGTGTACTTGTCTAGTCGGGTCAGCATAAACATCACATTTGTCCGATGAAGTCCTAAAGGACGAAGCCCGTCACACGAAATCCTTTTTACTTTGTCATAATTTTTTTCCCAATATATATACATAGATATATATATATGTGTGCATGCGTGTGTGTCTGTGTGTGTAACATTTTAAATTTAAATAAATATAAACTTAACCGTCGCGTTTCGTTCTCTGATAAACTTTACCATGGCAAATATAAGGATTTCATTTTGCAACATGTATTTATAAAATAGATATAAATATAAATATATATATATATATATATATTACTAACACTTTAACATCTACTATTCAAAACGATTTATCCAAAAACAAAATAATTAAGACCGCATCCAAAACTATTTTGGATACTTCCAGAACCAAAAATGTCCTTAACAGTAATAATTCTGAAGCGGGTATATATAAAATAAAATGTCATAGCTGCTCCTTAAAATACATTGGTGAAACGTATCTATGAATATAAAAGGGATCTTATACACAACAAATTATCAAATGCATTAGTCACACATAGAAATAAATTCAACCACAACTATGATTTAAAGAATGCCACACGTATTAAAAGGGAAATTTACTTTCTTTTTTTTTTAAGCGTTTCACCCCAAGCAAGGCGGGAAGCTACTAGGACGCAAGAGGTTACAGAAAATTTGGAGCAAGATCAGATAGAAGTGATAGAAGAAAGGATGAGGAGAAGGGTTTTGGATAGATCAAGGCATCTGGAGATGTCGATTGACATTACATTTGAATAGTTGGAGATTATAGCTCTCAGGGAAACTGGAATAGGGAAGGGAGGTCCACAGGTGAGAGGTGCGAGACATGAAGCTATTGGAGTAGAAGAGACGGCTACATTTAGGAGTTTCGACAGTGAAGGGTGAGAGCGGGATGCCAGCCTCGTAGGGCGCTTGAACTCATGAAATCTGGGAACTAACGAATGCATCTCCTCGGAGCAATTGCCATGAAAGTATTGACGGCGCGTCTGTGAGAAAGTGGCTGTAGACGAGATATATATATATATATATATATAAACCTAAAGAGCCAGGCAAACCTACCTAGGGTAAAGCCGGTTTTGCCTTGACGACCCGTTTAGGTGAAACCTAGGTAAGTTTGCCTGGCTCTTTAGGTTTATATTAGGTCTGCGCTACTTCGTGTATTGAGCACTTTACTTAGTTACCTTTTACTCGTTTTGGTGGCTTTTTTCTTTGGACTCTGAGCTTGAAATCTGGACGATTGTTTTCGCCTCAATTTCATGTTCTTAGTTCTTTCTTTTTTTTATTCCTCATTTTTCCTTGGGTATTGGTTTGTTCTACTACAAGCCGGAATATCCTAGGTTTTTCCAAGCGAATACCACCATTTATATATATACATATATATATATATATATATATATATATATATATATATATATATGAATAAAGACCAAAGGAAAACTTATCTTAGCTGACGGACTTTATCAAGGCAAATGTAACGATGTTCTTTTCTTTTTTTATTCCTCATTTTTCCTTGGGTACTGGTTTGTTCTACTACAAGGCGAAATACCCAAGGTTTTTCCAAGCTAGTACCACCATTTATATATATATATATATATATATATATATATATATATATATATATATATATATATATATATATATATATATATATATAATAAATACCAAGAATAAAGAAAAGGAAAACTTATCTTAGCTGACGGACTTTATCAAGGCAAATGTAACGATTTTATATTGCAACAATTTTTTGTATTGTAAACAAAAAGTAAAAATGTCTTTATTTTACAAAATTTTCAAATTTATGAACGATTATAAATTTACATCAGTCTAGCTGAAAAGCCTAGTTAAATTATGGAGGATGTTAACTGGCGTAATGTCGAATTAAAAAGTGAGTAAATGTTTTTATCTTTTTTATTTAAATGTTGTAATTAATATTATAGTTTGGGATTAATATATATATTCAGTCACAACAAATTTAACGTTTATTGCTCAATACAGCACACTACTGTATATACATTTAGAAATATATTAGACATGGCGAAAAAGTTATTAGGTTGGTGCAAAAATAATGACGTAAGAATGTCGTCTTTTAACGTTAAAAAATACGTCAAAAAACGACATTATTACGACGTCATTATTTTTGCACCAACCTAATACATGAGAACTATCGGAAACTGGTTGAGAAAAATAACATTTGTAATAGGGAGTAGTTGTATCTTTTTACAATAATATTCACTTTTTCCTAGGCCCAAGAGCCACTCGAGGTAGAGTCTTACTGAGTAAGAACTAAGAGGTATAATTTATGAGAACATGCGGAGAAAAATAATCCTAGATTTGAACACGTTAAGTTTGTAGTGGAAGCATCCTCTTGGGAGTCAGTTCAGAAAAACAGCGGTCCATGGGAAGAAGCTATTCAAGTGGCAATTACAACTCACCAATGGAATACGAAGGGAATTAGGGTGATTCGCTGCAATGGGCGTGTCATGGTGGGTCTTAACCGTGAAGGTTGGAACTGGTGGAACTAAAGAATGTAGCTCATCTGAGCACTTTACACAACAGGAGACTAGAACGTGAAGGCATGGCAGCTCTCACCCATATATAGCAACAGCTCTCCATTTTCCATGTACAGGAAATCGACCATTTTTTTCAGCATCTTTAGCGATGGATCGTATGCATGTCCTCCACTTGAGGTTTGGGTTGACCTTAGGTCTCAATAGATGATCATGGCATGGGTTCTCCCTAAGGGAACATCTGTTAATCGCTTTATGTCAGGCTTTCTCAAGCGATGCTTCCGAGGGCGCCTTGAAAGGGAGCCAAATTAACAGAAGGGTAATTTATGAATTATTTTTATATTTAAAAAATCTTTATTTTAAAAAAAGCTACAGACACCAGGCAATGTAATGTCTTAAAAATAAACTCTTATTTCAGAAGACTTCTTCATTAATTTCTTGTTTTCAAATTTCCTGACTAATTTCTCCTAAATTAAGATTTCAAATGCGTCTCTGAGTTTTAGATAGTCCACAAATGTGCCCTGAAATTCAGGGTGGCCTTGGTAAAGAAACAAAACGAATTAATGGCAAGAAACCAAATTTCTTTGTCCTTCGACGCATGTTTTTAATCAGTGGAAATGGAAATGTTTTGACACATGGTTTTAATCAAGCAAAAATTATTTTGACGAATTTAAGACAATGTATGCTTTACAAAATCTGTACTTTGTTTGAAAGCTTGATTTGTGTTGTACAGTAGTTTTCACAATGGAGGCTTGTATTTCAATAAGTCGGTCCTAAAAGGGTCCGACGTACAAAACGTTAGGAACTTGCAAATAATAGTTAATGGCGCAGCAATCTAGTTGTGATGGTTGATACTTTAATGTCCGACATCGACTGACTCACTCAACACCACTGAGCCCAACTGGCGACCGCTATTACTACTACTACTTATTATGTGTGGGAGAGTCTATTAACAATCGAATAGGTACTGTTCTGTTATAACAATTTGCTTCTCCACTGGCAAGAATATGGAGGATCAAAATCAGCTTTCAAACAAAATACGGATGGTGTACAAATCGCTTGTCGTCCCTATTCTTCTGTATGGGTGTGAAACATGGACACTGTTGGCAGATACAGAGAGAAGAATCCAAGCGTTTGAGAAAATGCATGAGAAAACTCCTTGGTATTTTCTACTGGGAACAAATGAGTTTGTGCAAAAAAGGGTTGAAAGTTTTGTGGCACACCAGGAACCTCTTCTTTCCACTGTCAAATGGAGAAAAATGGCGTGATTTGGCCACATTACAAGGCATGAGAGCCTGTGCATGAGAGTCATGCAAGGCATCATTGAAGGTGGACGTAGTAGAGGACACCAACACAAAAACTGGTTGGACAATGTCAAACAATGGACAGGTGTGACTGTAACAGAATTGCTGATGACTGCAGTTGATAAACCATTGTGGAAAAGAGTTAGTGTGGCTTCTG